TGATAATAACCAGCAATAATTGATACTTAAATCCAGAAAGGGCAATAAGTGGAGATAGTAGCATTATTGGGAAAGATAGATGAGACTAAATTTGAGCCTACACGACAGAGAGGTATAGCGGATCTTTCAACCACACCACCTACCCCCCCATAACCATCCCTCCCTCACACACAAGCACACACACACAAGGGTAGACACTCATAGAAGCCTTAAACCCTAGCAGCAAGTTCCACTTTTTATAACCCAGAATTACTGGTATGTGTTAGCAGTATCTCCCCCTCACACCTCCCCCATACACACGAACACACACATATACACACATACACACACACACCTGCACTAGGACAACATGGTAACTAACTAGGTGAATACACACACACACACACACACACAAATATGCATGCACACACACACACACACACACACACACACACACACACACACACACACACACAACACACACATGCACACACACACACACACGCACACTCACACACCACACACACACACACACACACACACACACACATGCACATGCACATGCACATACACACATGCACACACACACACACACACATATGCACACACACACACACACACACACACACAAACACACACACACACACACACACACACATCACCACTTGACACAAACAAGTACCTCCCTCCCTAACCACCTCTCCCCTTCTCTAACCACCTCACCTTAGCCACCTACCCCTCCCCCAAACCACCTAACCCTCCCCCAAACCATCTAACCCCCTCCCCAACTACCTCCCTCCCTCCAATAACCATCCTCCCCCTCCCCCATAACCATCCATCCCCTCTCTCTCTCAAACACGTACTTCTCCTCCCCTAACCAGCTCTCCCCTTCCCTAACCACCTAACCCTAGCCACCTACCCCTTCCCCCAAACCATCTAACCCCTCCTCCAAACCATCTAACCCCTCCCCCAAACCATCTAACCCCCTCCCCCAACTACCTCTACCCCTCCAATAAGCATCCTCCCCCTCCCCCATAACCATCCATCCCCTCTCCCCCTAACCATCTAATCCCCTCCCACTAATCACCCGTCCCCCTTCCTACTGTGGAGCAATGGGGGAACCTAGAACTAGGATGAGGACAAGGGGCTCCAAGGACGAATCTGGGAGGGAGGACTGGGAGGTAGAGCTCAAAAAATGGGAGGAAGACTGGGGAAGGAGACTAGATGAGCTGGCAAGGAAGATGGAAGAGAGGTTAGCAGCAGAATGCAGAAGGTGGAAGCAACATGCCACAGCAGCAGAAAACAAGATAGAGAGATTAGAAGAGCTGAGACATCTGAAACAGCATAGAGACAAAAATATTACAGAAGTAGCATCTGCAATGGCTACATCAGACACAGACAACAGGTCTGAAGGGAACATGGAAACTAAACTGTATGCAGAGGTCCTGTCAAACCCACATGGGGCCAAAACAAAGACAGGGAGCACACTAGGACAGAATGAGAGGTTGGAAGACACTGAAGGAACTAGAACATGTGCAGGGACCTTACCAGATACCTGTGGGGGCCAGGAACAGGTGAGAAGGAAGGACAAACCAAGAAGCATAGGGGCCATAACTAGGGAAGGGACTGAAGGAAGGAACACTCCACGGGAAGGAACTAAAACACATCAGAGGATGCAATGGGAGTCACAGTGGGAGGTGGAAAGGGAGAGATCAGTGTTTGTCTATGGGCTAGACGAAGCTAAAGGGGAAACTTATGATGAAAGAAAGCAGGAGGAGAAAAAAGCGATTGAAGGTATCTTGAAGGTGATAGGCGAGGGGGACATGACCCAGGTGGCAAATTTTTGGAGAATCGGGTGGTTCACAAAGAAAAGGAATCGGCCTCTCAAAGTAATTTTCAAGGCAGAATCAACATGAACCATGATCCTGCAGGAGAAAGCACGGCTGAGAGGCAAGCAGGAGTTCATGAGTGTGTACCTCGATCGAGACAGAACACAGGACGAAAGAAAGATGATGAAAGAGAGCGTTCAAAAACGAAAGGAGAAATGGGAGGAAATGAAAAAGGAGAGCAGAATAACCCAGGATCAAATGGAAGGACAAGCACACCCGCCAGAAACACCTGCAGAAAGACTCCAGCCACGACACCCCCAAGGCAACTAAACAATCCAAACCAACCATCACACACCGATCCCTCTGTTCCCACCCCCTGCACCACAGTTACAGTATTAGAACAGAAGTTGAAGGTTTGGTACACAAATGCAAATGGATTAACAAATAAACGTGAGAAATGGCAAGAAAGAATCAATGAGAAGTCCCCAGACATCATAGCAGTTACAGAAACAAAACTCACGGAGACAGTAACAGATGCAATCTTCCCACCAGGATACCAGATCATGAGGAAAGATAGAAGGGGCAGAGGGGGAGATGGGGTTGCACTGCTCGTAAAAAACAGATGGAAATTCGAGAAAATGGAAGGCATAGATGAGACGGGAGAAAGAGACTACATAGTAGGTACACTTCAGTCTGGGGAACACAAGATGGTCATTGCAGTGATGTATAATCCACCACAGAACTGCAGGAGGCCAAAAGAGGAATATGAAGAGAGCAACAGAGCAATGGTGGACACACTTGCTGAGGTGGCAAGAAGAGCTCACCCCAGCAGAGCAAAGTTGCTGGTTATGGGGGATTTCAACCACAGGGAGATTGACTGGGAAAACCTGGAGCCACATGGGGGTCCCGAAACATGGAGAGCCATGATGTTGGACGTGGTGCTGGAAAACCTCATGCACCAACATGTTAAGGACACTACCAGAGTGAGAGGGGAGGATGAACCAGCAAGATTGGACCTTGTGTTCACCCTGGGCAGCTCATACATTGAGGACATCAAGTATGAGAGTCCTCTAGGAGCTAGCGACCACGTTGTTCTGTGCTTTGAATATGTAGTAGAGCTGCAAGTGGAGAGAGTAACAGGAGTTGAATGGGAAATGCCTGACTATAAAAGAGGGGACTACATAGGGTTGAAGAACTTCCTGCGGGAGGTCCAGTGGGACAGAGAACTGGCAGGAAAACCAGTAAACGAAATGATGGAATATGTAACAACAAAATGCAAGGAGGCAGTGGAAAGGTTTATTCCCAAGGGCAACAGAAACAACGGGAAGACCAGAACGAGCCCCTGGTTTACCCGACTGTGTAAGGAGGCAAAAACAAAGTGCAATAGAGAATAGAAAAAGTACAGAAGGCAGAGAACACACGAAAATGGGGAGATCAGTCGCAGAGCCAGGAACGAGTACGCACAGGTAAGGAGGGAGGCCCAGCGACAGTATGAAAATGACATAGCATCGAGAATCAAGACTGACCCGAAACTGTTGTATAGCCACATCAGGAGGAAGACAACAGTCAAAGACCAGGTGATCAGATTAAGGACAGAAGGTGGAGAACTCACAAGAAATTATCAGGAGGTATGTGAGGAGCTGAACGGGAGATTTAAGGAAGTTTTTACAGTAGAGACAGGAAGGGCTGTGGGAAGACAGCACAGAAGGGAACATCAAGAGGGAATATACCAACAAGTGTTGGATGACATACGAACAACCGAGGAGAAGGTGACCTTCATACCTCAAAGGCGATGGGACCGGACATCATCTCCCCATGGGTCCTTAGAGAAGGAGCAGAGATGCTGTATGTGCCTCTAACCACAATCTTAAACACATCCCTTGAAACTGGGCAACTACCTGAGAAATGGAAGACAGCAAATGTAGTCCCCATATTTAAGAAAGGAAACAGAAACGAGGCACTAAACTACAGACCTGTGTCTCTGACATGTATTGTGTGCAAAGTCATGGAGAAGATTATCAGGAGGAGAGTGGTCGAACACCTGGAATGGAACAAGACTATAAATGAAAACCAGCATGGGTTCATGGAAGGCAAATCTTGTATCACAAACCTCCTGGAGTTTTATGACAAGGTAACAGAAGTAAGACACGAGAGAGAGGGGTGGGTAGATTGCGTTTTCCTAGACTGCAGGAAGGCTTTTGACACAGTTCCCCACAAGAGATTAGTGCAGAAGCTGGAGGATCAGGCGCATGTAACAGGGAGGGCACTACAATGGATCAGGGAATACCTGACAGGGAGGCAGCAACGAGTCATGGTACGTGAAGAGGTATCACAGTGGGCGCCTGTGACGAGCGGGGTCCCACAGGGGTCAGTTCTAGGACCAGTGCTATTTTTGATATATGTGAACGACATGATGGAAGGAATAGACTCTGAAGTGTCCATATTCGCAGATGATGTGAAGTTGATGAGAAGAATTAAATCGGATGAGGATGAGGCAGGACTGCAAAGAGACCTGGACAGGCTGGACATGTGGTCCAGTAACTGGCTTCTCGAATTCAATCCTGCCAAATGCAAAGTCATGAAGATTGGGGAGGGGCAAAGAAGACCGCAGACAGAGTATAGGCTAGGTGGACAAAGACTACAGACCTCACTCAGGGAGAAAGACCTCGGGGTGACCATAACACCGAGCACGTCACCGGAGGCACACATCAACCAAATAACTGCTGCAGCATACGGGCGCCTGGCAAACCTGAGAATAGCTTTCCGATACCTTAATAAGGAATCGTTCAAGACACTGTACACTGTATATGTTAGGCCCCATACTGGAGTATGCAGCACCAGTCTGGAACCCACACCTGGTCAAGCACGTCAAGAAGTTAGAGAAAGTACAAAGGTTTGCAACAAGGCTAGTCCCAGAGCTCAGGGGAATGTCATACGAGGAAAGGTTGAGGGAAATCGGACTGACGACACTGAAGGACGGAAGGATCAGGGGAGACATGATAACGACATACAAGATACTGCGGGGAATAGACAAGGTGGACAGAGATAGGATGTTCCAGAGAAGGGACACAGGGACAAGGGGTCACAACTGGAAGCTGAAGACTCAGACGAGTCACAGGGACGTTAGGAAGTATTTCTTCAGTCATAGAGTTGTCAGCAAGTGGAATAGCCTAGCAAGTGAAGTAGTGGAGGCAGGAACCATACATAGTTTTAAGAAGAGGTATGATAAAGCTCAGGAAGCAGAGAGAGAGAGGACCTAGTAGCGATCAGTGAAGAGGCGGGGCCAGGAGCTGAGTCTCGACCCCTGCAACCACAATTAGGTGACTACAATTAGGTGAGTACACACACACACACACACACACACACACACACACACACATGAAAATACTTTCATTTTTCTTTTTGGGCCTCCCTGCTTCGGAGGGATACGGCCTGTTTGTTGAACGAAGATGTATGAAAATAGGCTATGGAAGTGTTGGGCGAAATGTATATATATTATATACATACACTTGGTGTCTTATACAACATCCAGGATGTCTGCACCTCATACATGGACCTTACATGACTTGGTCAATGACTATGTATGTTAGGTCGTAAATGACAAGTCAGGTACAATGATTGGTTTATTAAATATAACTAATTATTTTATTTCAGAATTCATTTTCTTTTTTGGACTGATGATCTGGTTACATTCAGCACTATCTTTACTACAATTTAATTCTCACCACTGATTTGCATGTAGCAATATTCTCAATTTTTTAACGATCTTTAGCATGAATAAGCAGAGCTTTTGACTATTGTCTAACTGAATTGCTATATCTGTGTTATTTTTATATATAAATCTAGGATTTTTCCGGTCTAATCTACGTATGAAATCAGAGTTTGCATAATACAATTCAAGACTCAATCAACAGCATTTTCTGGGGAATTCATAAGCAAAATGTTTTTAAACATCAAGATTTTAAATAAATACTGATTCTGTTTTTTTAGTGAAGTCAAATTTTCAAGGAGATTTACTTGATTTGTTAATATCAAAATATTTTGGCTGGGTTTGTGTTCACGTTTTTTAGATTGCGAAGGATATTTATAGGAATTTTCAAAGAATTATGAAAGGTTTGGATACCTTAATTTAAATGCCGTTTCATATATAACATCTTCATTATTTCTTCAATGAACAAAGAAACAGACATTTCATTGTATTCCAAAATTGAATTACTTTTTTCTAAATTTAAAATTATGTGTGCACCACCTTTATGATCATTCAGTTTATTTTGATTAGTTTTTATGTACGATTATAACACCCCAGAAGTAGGGGGGTATGTTAAGGATGATCTCCATAAAACCTTGTTTTAAACGATAAACTTACAGTCTCAGGAAAGTTTGATCGTGGGTACGAACTGTGACCTCTCTTTTTGGATTATCAGCATTAGTTAATTAATAATTTTTCAGCACACTGACATGTAAATCAATTGGGACGATAGATATATTTTTCACTGTCTTCTAGTACAGCTGATTGTTGTCCATAAAAATGTGTATATGGTTCTCATTTAGTGGTTACTACTACTAGGTATCGTAATTTCTGGTTAGAGAAGTGTGATTATTACCTTCGGTGCAGCGGACTAAGACAGCGGTTCACAAGCAGTGGGTACGTCATCTGAAAAAGATTTCTCACTGCAGAAAAAGAAATATCGATTGCTATGTAAAAATTAAAGAAAATGTCGAATAGTAGGTGAATGCTACATAAATGCTTCATAAATGCTATGTAAATGCTACATAAATGATATATAAATGCTACATAAACGCTACATAAATGCTACATAAATGCTACATAAATGGTGTAAACAGATTATTTTGTTTACTTTTCTAAAGCATGCATATTAAAATTGTTTTATTTCTGCACTGTTTTCCTCTTGTCATTCTTAGGGGTCTGTATAGTTCATAATTAACAGACAATGAAAGTGTACTTAAACTGGCATTAATTAAGTGAAAATAACACAAAAAAATTGCGATCGGCTCTTACCGTGTTGACACTTACCTAAAAGAGACTAGCAAGGCCTAGTAGGGCCTAATAGGGCCTAGCAGAACTAAAAGTTGCAGTATACCGAGGACCCCAGAGTTAAGTAACGGGCTTATAATCTCGTCATGGATGGATTGTCGATGCGAACCTCAAGCTTCCTCTCTGAATATTGCAGATTCATTACAGATTCCTCAGCGAGCACACACACACACACACACACACACACACACACACACACACACACACACACACACACACACACATATATATATATATATATATATATATATATATATATATATATATATATATATATATATATATATATATATTATATATATATATATATATATATATATATATATATATATATATATAATATATATATATATATATATATGTATATATAGACTGTAAGACAGTTATTGACAGTTATGTGAGGATTTCTTGCACGAATAAAAGGGGATAATGAGGTGTCATTATATTATAATGAAGGAAATGTCTTATGCTTATTTCTTTTAGAATGCCACTAATGTTTTTAATTTTTGCAGCCACACACGAAGTCTCCTCCTCATCCCATCCGAGTGGCCAAGTCGATTGATGTCATCTCCCGCGTTGTCTTCCCTCTAGGCTACTTCATCTTCCTCTTTTACTTCTTCGCTACTTACAAGGGCTTTCAATGAGCCCTGACTCATTCCCTCCTCCCAACCATCATCATGGTTGTTCTTTCAAATCCCCAGCTTGGATTTGATAATCAATCTTGCATCTATCCGCTGCCTAAAACCCACCCATGAAGTGCCCCAAGAAGATGCAGGATAGCCAGCCATCCACCAGCATCATCTACACTTAACTACTGCATCATTTCTTGCATGTTCTTCAATAAACGATAATTATTTAGCCTGCAAATGTTTCAAGGCACAAATATTTACTATATTTTAATGCTCGTGCCAGACAAAATTATTATACATCTTCACAAATTTTAATAGTTGTAACAACACTGTCTTGAGCAAATGAGGCTTATAGATATATACAAGAAAGTGCAAGATGCTGGGCACCTTCTTAAAGAAGGAGCAAGAGGCGGGGCGCCTTCTTAAAGATCAAAAGATCTCATTTGTAACATCATGTAAATATCAAGCATACTTATTTGTTATAACTTTTGTAACAATATTATTTTCTGTTGTTATCGACTCCCATGATGTTACAAAGTAATTAGATATGTTGAACACGACAAAAGGGCACTTGCATTTACAGTTTAGGCCCATTAGCATTCAGACTCGTAGGGATTATTGTAGTATATATTTGCATATTTCTATTTTCTTGTATATTCTGCATTCAGAGGGAAACGTTGCTAAACAAAGCATTGGGGAAGCTTTAGCTGAAGGAAACTTTTATATTATAAATGTTTTGTGAAAGTTGTAGTGACATCCTAATTTGATGGTTAAGTATATTTTCCAATTTTATTTTCACTTCACATATACTTATTTTCGTTGTGCTTTACACTGTTATACAGTCACAGCTGCGAGTACAACCCAGAGTGACCATGCTGGGTCCCATACAGACCTGAGTGTTTGCACTCAATACGTGACTACACCATAAATCCACCATCATAAACTACCATCATAGAAAAGACCTACTGTCGGTTTGAATTTAATCTGCATTTATAATTGCCAGTGGAACTAAAGGTGAGGCAAGAAGAAAAGTTGTTAAGGTAGAATAACTTCGTTATGCAGTCCTTAGAAGTGCCAGTTCCCTATTAGTTACCGACCTAACACATAACAAGGTGCTCCCCAGCCTCTGCACTCTTGTTTGCTCCTCTTCTTCTCCTTGTTGCAGCAAAATCTCTAAAACAAATATTTATATGAATCCTTTTATAATGTATTAAAATCACACAAACACACATATACACGTATATATATATATATATATATATATATATATATATATATATATATATATATATATATATACATATATATGTATATATATATATATATATATATATATATATATATATATATATATATATATATATATATATATATATATATATATATATATATATATATATTATATATATATATATATATATATTATATATATATATATATATATATATAATATATATATATATATATATATATATATATATATATATAATATATATATATATATATATATATATATATATATATATATTATATATTATGGTTCAGACATGTTAATGATATTTTATGTCTTATGCCCAAGAATGTAGATATACACCATTTCCTTGGCAAATTAAATAGCTTAGCCCATTCTATAAACTTTACTGTTCAGTTTGAGGAAAATAACTCATTGCCTTTTCTAGATGTTTTAATTATTAAGAGTAATAATGAATTCAAATTTAAAATTTACAGAAAACCTACAAATAACTGTTCCTATGTTCACTATTATTCTTCCCATCAAGATAAAGTTAAACTGTCTGTTTTCTCATCAATGTTTTCGAGAGCTTTACGTATTTGTAGTCCACAGTTCATAGATGAAGAAATATCCAAAATTTATGAAATAGCCATTGATCTGAAATACCCGAGAAATGTAAATGATAAATCATTTAAAATTGCTAGAAATAGTTTTTACAACCCAAAAAGAGACAACCAACCTTGTTCAACTAAAAATATGTTGGTTCTCCCTTACCATGAAAACTTGGTTGATATGCCTTCTCTTCTCAAGACTTTTAATATTAAAGTTGTATTTAAAAATCTTGATACAGTAAAAAAAACTTTTGATAAAGAATTCCCCCCAAAATGCTGACGGATGTGTCTATAAGATTCCTCGCAAAATTTTCGATAAAGTTTATTACGGTCAAACTGGTAAAAGTCTCGAACTTAGATTAAAACAACATAAATATAGCATTAGAACTGGACAAGATTCCAATGCTCTGTTTATTCATTTGAGAGATTTTTAACCATCCAATTGATTTTCAAAAAGTTGAGCAAGTTGTATCAAGCAAGTCCATGGTTGACAGAAATATATTTGAATCTTGTTTCATAAAAAGCAGTTTTGAAAATCATATGAATATTTCTTTAGGTTTATATAAATTAGATTCATTTATAATTAATAAAATTTGGTTAGAGTTTAATAATACATTGGACAAATAATAAACCTTATTTCTTGGGTAGAATAATTTGTTAGTGGGATGTCGTGAGGACCTGTCTAGTTGGACCAGCGGAGCTACTGCAGTGTTCCTCTTTTCTTATGAGTCCGGTATTGTCGCGCGTCAGGTGTTTCTTTGTTGTGGGAGTTGACTGTGAGGTGTGGTCTAAGCCCTTTAATTGCCTTCCTTTGATGTATTACTTTCATAGTTCCTTGACAATGTGAGTAGTCACGAAAGCGCTTGGAATTTCACTACTCTTTCACAGTGGTTGTTTTGCATATTTTAAAATCACCTGTTTACTGTGATCTTATTGCATATATATATATATATATATATATATATATATATATATATATATATATATATATATATATATATATATATATATATATATATATATATATATATATATATATATATATATATATATATTTATATATATATATATATATATATATATATATATATATATATATATATATATATATATATATATATATACATATATAAACATGGAAACAGCAGAAGAGAACCCCTGAGTGCTTTCCTGGTTTTACACACATCTTCTGTGTAGCCAAGTGGTTTCATCTTGAGGTTTCAAGGAAACCGTCATTGAATAGCATTGTCTGTTCTAAACCTTTCAGTTATTTAACTTACTTAGTCTGAATTACTGTTCAAATTTAATTAATTAATGTACAGCTCTATTTCATGTAAAAGAATTCATGGAATGATAAACTTCAGCTATTCAAATTCGAAAGAGTTAGATTAAAACGTAAAAATAGATGGTTACCACAAAAAGCCTACTAGCCTGTGCAACAGCACTTGCTACGGTATTTGCTTCAATTACAAAGCCTGGCAACTTGTATTTGTAGTTATTGTGACTGTGTCAGGCTGCCTGATTATTCCAATGCACTGACAAGGTTTAGAGGCGAAGAGATACGTCTGATCAAAAAGATTATTCTTGGTGCCACACTCAGAGGCGCCAACAAGCATTACCTAAAGTGTAGTTAATAATAACCTTAGAGTAACTATAGTGCTCCAGTGGTTGGAGATACGGGTTGGCGAAACCTAAATCGTAGGCTTGAGGAATGTCTGTTCTTTGAAAAAAAATTCAAAAGCATTATAGGAGAAGAGTTCTGCTTAAGACCTGCCAGCACTTTACTGGACAAGTCTTACTCACACACATTAACTCCCAAACCATCCTACTATTAAAGCTGCCCAAAGTTCTCATTTCAATAATTTTACTTGGCAATTTGTTCCACTCATCTAGCCCTTTGTTGCTAAACCATTGCTTCATTTATCCTTTGCTGTTACCCTTGCTTAGACATTTTCGGTACTTCATTCATATCCCTTTATTTATTCCCGTTTTCCATTTGTAAATTTGGGTCATATCTCTTCCCCTAACTCAGCACCTTTCCAGAAAGTCAAAATTTAATGCATTCAGCTCATCTTCATTGGAAAGGTTTCTAACTTTTTTCAACTCATTTTTGTCTAGTTATTAAAATGGAGACTAGAATGGAACTGTATAATCTAAATGACGCCTTATCAATAATATAAAAAAAACTGAAGTGAGGTAATCAGTCTGATTACCTCACTCTCCTCCTGTTCTTCAAGTTTCTCCTTTGTATGGACTGATGAAGCCACTGTGTGGCGAAACGTTTCCTCAATAAAGATACCCAAGAGTTGCACATGTGTCTAATTTATCAACGTGTCGGTTCTCTGAACCATTCATCTACAATCCTGTCAGACACATATTTACTTGTATAAATTAAACACGTGTCCAACGTTTGGAAACTGATATTGGGAGTTTTTTCAGTCCAGTCAAGAGTGATGTAAACATGGATATATGTAGCAGAGAAGAACAAGTGTAATGTAGGCAGGGTGTGTGAAGTGCAGTAGTTGTTCCTGACAACTGTATTATTGTCAGTCCACCATCAGTTCAGCTAGAGCATTTTGAAGCATCAAAACTACTGGTGTTCTGTACAGTTGTATTACCCATAGTGATGATTGAAAATAACGACATCTGTGTAGATCCTCTTCTTTGTACACGAATCTGACTTCACTTCAACTCATTAGATGACTGTTGGTATTCCATTGTATCACTCATGCACAATTAAGATTTTTCTGCATCTCAGACATATTTGAGTTAATTAATACGAGTCGTGATCTTTGCCCGTTTGTCCAGCGTATAGTGTATATCCAGGCTTTTGTCGGTGATATCCATCATGGTGATGCTAGTGGAATCAGCCATTCTTAGCAAACCCTAAGTGAATGCAGCAAACATTCACCGAACTAAGGATTGATCGGTCTTAGGGTGTTGAGAAGTTGTTGCACCCAGTTGATGAGAAGAGTCTGGTGGCTAATGTTGCATTCCTCTTCCAGGAATTCTAAGCTGCTAATCCTTTATAATAAAAATTTCCAAATGTTGCTGATATGTCAGATTTATACAGTTTTTGGTATTACAGATTTTGTGTGTTTCATCATTTATACCACTTTTCTATGAAGCCTGAAAGTCTATTAACTTCATAGTGGACACCTGTGCACTGTTGTCCTGGTTTCAGATTTGCTAACCAGAACTTATAAATCTTTTGTCTTCAGTTTTATTAAGATTTAAATTATTATTATATTAAGAAATCATATGCGATTCCCATATGAGTCAAACAGCTTATGAAGATAGTAGTCATTTTCCTTTCAGTCGACTAGAACCTTTACATTTGTCCACATTATTCCACCCTTTTCATTATTCCAGCTACAACATCCCTATTCAAATCATCCTGTAGCTCCTAGTGTCCTTCTCACATATTATTTTACAACTTTTTTTGTGTCATCGCCAAACATAATTTTGTCACCATTTATTCCCTCATTTATTCTCTTAAAATAGAATCTCTGGTTCAGCAATAAGGTGTTTAATACCGACGCTTGTGGAATATCATTTACAACGGGTCCCTATTCTGGTTTCGTCTTATTTACGAAAAATCTCTTTTGTCTGTATGTTACCAGTTCCCTTTCAAAGAGGGAATTTCTACTTTGACGTCGAATGCAGTTGTTTTCATCCTCAGTCTGCTGTGTGGAACTCTATCAGTGACTTACTGAGGTACATACACAATGTTGAATTCTTCATCATGGTCCACCATCTGAAATATCTTAGTGAAAAGAATTAATAAATTCATAAAGCAAGTAAAATCTTTTTAAAAACTGTGCCGAGATTCATTAATCAAACTGTCTTGAAAAGTGGCTTCGATTTACGTCTGCAATTAGTGCTGATTACTCTGTTCTGTGATCAGAAGCTACGAACTAATCTTCAAGTTTGTTAACATTTTCCTCTTGCATGACACGATACTCGTTTGTAGTGATGTATTGAAGAGACTAGCTGAACGTTTGCTAAGTTTCTCTCTACATTCCTTTAAAACCCTTGAAAGCAGTTCATCAAGGTTTAGTTTGCAACATGGCCTGAGGACCATGTTAGTAATAACTGTGAGCATGAAATTAATGTGTTTTCACTCTGTCATGCATGTATTGATTTCTTGGATTTCTTTTGTATTTTCTTGTGTACAGAGACGAAATAGGTCAACAAATGTGCACATATCTTTGTTATTATCAGTAACCAGAAATGAATTACATTTAAGTGAGCCTTTTTTTATCTTAATCTTATTATAAACACCTGAAAGAAGCCCTTTTATTCCCTTACAACTTTCATTTCACAGTGTTTTCTTTTTTCTTTTTCTTTTTTTCTCTCTCTTGAGTTGGATACAGTAGTCGAAGAGGTGACCCCTTAGTATTTTTCAAACATTT